AAGCTTTGCTTTATGGTGTCGGACACACAACATTGAAAGTTTCTGGAGCACAACATTGAAAGTTTCTGGAACACAACATTGCAAGTTGATAAAAGCGTTGTAAAATATCCCTCTCCACTTTGAAAGTGTCCCAAAATAACCGTCACTATTTAAGAGAAAAAGTATAATATTTATAATGGTTTATTTTTTGTAGATGTGTGCTCCTCTCAGTGGGAAAGGGTTATTTGCATATCTTTATACCCGAGCGCACTTGTGCACAAGGGTATACTAACTTTGTTCACATAACGGTTCAGAAAGAAAAGAGAAATCGATTAGCGGTGACTGTCTGTCCGTCCGTCTGTCCGTCCGTCCATGTACACGATAAATCGAGCAAAAAATTAGATATCTCACCGAAATTTGGTATGTAGGTTTCCATGTATCCAAGGTAGATTGGTATTGAAAATCGGCGAAATCGGACTGTAACCACGCCCACTTCCCATATAACGGTAATTTTCAGAAATACGAAAACTGCGATATTTTAGTAACTACTGAAGATTATTTACTTAAAATTGATATTAAAAATAACTTTTAGACGAAAAATAAGAATATTATAAATTTTTAGAAAATAGGCGTAGCCACGCCCACTCATGGTTACATGTATATATCTTGCTGACCGCTGCACCAATTTCTTCCAAACTTGGCACAGTTGTTAGCTTTGGTACAACGTACCAAACGGCCGAAAATTTTTTAAATCGGACAATAAGCACGCCTACATCGCATATAACGGTAAATTAGAGAAATACAAAATCTTCGATAAATCAGTAAATATTAAAGATAATTTATTCAAAATTGATGTTTGCAACAATTCTTTACCATGAAATACGTGTATGATAAAATATTGGAAAATGGGCGTGGCACCGCCTACTTATGATCACATATATGTATATCGGTAACCGTTCTACCAAATTGTACCAAACTCGGTATGGTTATTGTGCTTGCCACATAAAAGCAAAACGTTGAAAATTACTGAAATCGGACTAAAATTGCGGCCGTTTTTCATATAACGTTAAATTTCAGAAATGCTTGAAACTTCAATATTTCGAAATTTAAGGACGCTAATTTACTCAAAATTTGTACATCCCGGCTTACCATGTAGCTTTAGCTTTCGGAAAGGTGAAAAGGGAACAGTCCAGCGCCTTCCGATACAGCCGCTAAATTTAAACGTAGAATACGTGGTATGGTTAAGAGCATATCCAAGTCAAAAACAAAAACACACACTAAGAAAAAATATCGAAAACAAATGGGATAAATATATCGATGAAAATATCGATATCAAAATCGGTAATAATATCGATAGCAAAAAGGATAACTAAATCGGTAAAAATATCGATAACAAAATCGATATAAATATCGATTGCAAAATCGATAACTAAATCGATTACAAAATCGGTTACCAAATCTTTAAGAGAATCGATAACAAAATCTATAAAAATGTCGATAACAAAAGCCATGACAATATCGATAGCAAAATCGATAAAAATATCGATAAAAAACCGATAAAAATATCGATAACAAAATCGATTAAAATGTCGACAACGAAATCTATAAAAATATCTATTACAAAATCAATAGCAAAATCGATAAAAATATCGATGACAAAACTGACAAAAATATCGATAAAAATATCGATAACAAAATCAATAAAAATATCGACAACAAAATCGAAAAACATAGCGATAAAAATATCGATCATTTAATTTCCGAAAATATCGATATAACAATATCGATAAAAATATCGATCACAAAACCGACAAAATATCGATTTTTATATCGATAAGTCCCGAGGATCCCGAAAATCTCTAAAATCCCGAAGTAGTTCCCAGATTGAGTCTCTGTGCCTCTTATCTATATCCTTTTCTCTAAACCGACTTTTATTTTAATCTTTCTTCCTCTGTCTTCATCTATACTTTTATCGGTATGCTCATCCCCATCCATTTCTTTATATTTATCTTTGTTTTTATTTTTATGTTGATCATATTCTTCATATACATATTCCCTTCACCTTTGCCCTTATATAAGTAAAGTGTTTAAATTTACCTTGGTCTTCGTTTTTGCTTTTATCTTTACGCAACTTTGTTTTTGTTTTTATTTCTACCATTGCCTTTATCCTTTTCTTTATGTATGTACGTAATCACCTTTACTTTACGATTAGGTTATAAATATTGCGCCATCTGTTTATCAAAAACACAGATATGTACTTACGCACCCATACATACTTTTTGTCTCGTTCCCACACTTCCAACGCATGCACGTGTTTGCAAAACGATGACGAAGTGATTTTGTATGGGAAAGCACTTATGCCCATATATCTGAATCAAATAAACATACTTAGAAGATATCAATTCTTCCCGTATACCAAACGAAAGGAAAACTCTTGAACTTTTGATTAAAGAAAATGAAAACAAAATCATTCGAGGGGGTTTCGAGCATTTTGGTAATAAAAAAAATTGCAAATTTTTTCAACAATTTTTTGCCTTAACATGCTCAATATTTGTTGAATTTATATAAAATTTGTACACGATAATATTTCTACTGCTCCAAATAATCTATATCCCGAAAATGAAAGTTATATCTGCAAATCATAAGCCGCAGGAGCACTTTAAAGGCTCAAATTTACCCCAAAATAAGCCAATGTTTACGGTTATTTTTACGACAGAAACCGAATCCGTTACTTAGAAAAATGAATCTGTCGATAGGTTTCGAATTTTATCTTTGAAACGCCATACTCTTCTTAGAAATCGCTTCATTAGTTCTCGTGCAATAAGCGTTTTCGTGAAGCTCTAAAATTTACAACTACAACATTTCAGCATAGCCTCCATATCGTAAGGTAAGACGTATTCTACGTCAAAACATATATTTGGTACTTGCCCCGGGTATTTAATGTTCGGCTCCGCCCGAACTTAGACTTTCTTACTAGTTTTCCGTTGCTGTTGGACACGGACACTTAGTGTTAGAGCGCGGTTACCCGCGAACGTGTACGCAATGTACCGTAGAAGTGCGTAGAAACATATCATATTTGCTGTTGATAGAGAGAGAGAGAGAGATATAAGCTGTATTTTGGAACGAATTTCCGTCATCCCTTGCCAAATTTGGTTTGGAGACAAACCGGTTTCGGCGTTGTGCCATCTTCAGTGTCATTTTTCGTTCTGCATAATTTTTGTTGGTTGCTCGTATTTATACTCCTTGTTAACTACCTCTTTCTTTTGTTAGGTACGTCTTTTTAGTTTTGCAGTGTTTGCGGTGGTCAATAGGCAGATGAATTGTTTTGACTCGTTTTTGACGGCAGGTAGAAGTCCGTGATTTTTACCCGCTTTGTTTTTGCAGTTGGTGTATTCCCTTCCATGTCTGTCCTTAATATTTTGTTGTTGTCCTTTTTCTTCTCGTACAGTAGTTTTAGAGGTTCAAACAGTACGTCCGATACAGTATTTATTTGCTCATTTATTATTTGTCCTTTGAAGGTCTTCTGTTTATATATTTCCATATTTTCTAATATATTCAAACTTTGTCCTTTATGTTGTACACGGAGAAGTTCTGTTGTTTGTCCAATTTTCATTGGTGTGCATTTATTTTTGATCACGTGATTCGAGAAGTTCGATTCTATTGCAGCCTCTGGTTTTCGTTTTTTCTTATTATAATCCCTTATGTGTTCTCGATACCTTGTTCTTATATTTCGTTCTGTTTGTCCTATGTAACTGTGTCGGCACTCGCTGGTTAACTTGTAAACACCCTGTTTATTGTTGTTGTTGTTATTAGTTGTCTAAATGCTGCATTTTTGTGTTGCTGTGGGTGGTTTAAGCTATTGTGTATAATTGTGTCTGTGGCTGTTGGTTTTCTGCATATTTCGAACTCTATCTTGTTCGTGGTATCGTTTATTTTAATCCAGATTGTTAATCTTTCTTTCCTTTTCCGTTTCCATGGTGAATTTTATATTCTGGTGTTGTTTGTTGAGATAGTCTAGTATCTGTTTCTCTTTGTTTCCCTCTATTAGACATATTACATCATCGACATATCTCGCGTAGAATTTTACTCCTAGGTTGGTCAATAGGTTTTTCATGTATTTCTCCTCCAGTGTTTGCATGAATACTTCCATGAGTATTGCTGACGTCGGATTGCCTATTCCTAACCCGTTAATCTGTTTATATATCTTATTGTTGAACCGGAAGTAGTTTTGTTTTAATGTAACCTTCAACGCGTTTATTATTTCCGTGACAGCCTCTCTTTTCATTTTTCCCATCAGTATTTCTTGTACGGTCTGTATGGTTTCTATTGTTGGTATCGATGGGTAAAGGTCCTTGATGTCAAATGATACGAATTTAGTGTTTTCGTTGATCTTCAACGATTTCATTTTCTCGATTAGTTCCGTTGTATTTGTAATAGTATATTTATTGCGTAGATCCACGTTATCCTTCAGCAGCGTTTTAAGGTGCCTACAAGCAGACTTGTAATTAATGAAAGGTCTCACCGGGGTGCCTGGTTTGTGTGTCTTCGGCAAAGCTATCAACGGAAGGACACTCGGGTTCTTAAGTGTTAGTCTATATGGTAGATAATCCTTTATTATGGCTGCGCTTTTTTATGGTATTCTTTATTGCTGCTTGGTGGTATTCTTCAGTGGAATCTTTTCTCAATTTATTGCACCCTATTTCAGTTATTAGTTTTTCAGTTTTCTCTATGTAATCTTTTTTATCAATTAATATGGTCGTATTGCCTTTGTCTGCTTTTGTGGTTATAACATTGTTTGCCCTTAGCTTTTCTTTGAGCCCTTTTATGGCTTGGTTTTCGTTCTTCTGCTTTCTAGTTTTTCCAGACATATGTGTCTGGCGTGCTCCTGTTCTTCAGTTAGAAGCCGTGATATAATAACTTCAGTGTCCACGATGGTTTGTTCAAGTTCCCTCTTTCGGTTGTAACTTTCAATGTTCCCTGTGGGGAAAATCTCTAGTTTTGAACTGGTGTGCTTCTAGTACATTTAGAACCAATACTAGTTCGCGATAAATCTGTTTTGCATGCAAACAACTGGCGAATTTAGCACAGCGATGTCATAGGAATTGGAAATTGTCCCCCGCTGCATTACCTTTTCTATAGTTCAGAACCAGTCCTAAATTCGACACATGGGGTCTAGTTCGCTTTGCACCCCATTTTCTATAGTTTCGAACCAGTTGTAAACGAAAAAAGTAACAAGATGATTTCTTTTTGGGTTACCATGGTCTGAAATCAAATTTGTTTGAATGAATATAAATTAAATTGTGCATTTGAAAACATGTTTACATACCTTTGGCTGTAGCTGAATTTTCAGAGGTTCTGACTGTTATTGGTTATTGGTTATATTCCAGAAGGTCCCACAATGTTAAGATGTTTACACAAATATTAGTTTTGTATTACTAAACTATGAAAAAGCATCTGCGACGTGCAGACTGAAAGCGTATTTGAACGAAAAACCCGCCAAGCAAAAATCTATTTAAAGTAAACAAGCCCCCGCTGCATTACTTTTTCAGTAGTTTCGAACTAGTTCAAAATTCGCCAAATGAGATCTAGTTCGTTCCGCATCCCTTTTTCTATAGTTTTGAACCAGTTCTAAATTCGTCATTTTAGATAGAGATTGTTTTTTTAAGGTACCACATATCGCTGCTTTTTAACTGGTGGCGATCTAGTTACTATCGGACTGGTTCGTTTTTGGCGATAAAGATCTAGTACGGAACTACAAATTTGGTTCACCAGTTTTGGGTTTCCCTGCAGGGTTGTGTTTGAGGCCTTTTTTTAGTAGTTCTGGTTCTTGCTCATTGATGTAAAACGTCAAGTTTACAAATCGGGAGTGGAATTTCTGTTCTGCATTTATCATGATTTTGTTGTTGCCTTGTTTCGTCCTCAAGCTATCGAGTTTCTTGTTCAACCTTTCATACTTCTTCTTCATGAGTTTTTTATTATCGGCTTTTATTTTCTCTATTATTTCCATCAAGGTTTGGATTGGCAGATGCTCCGCTAACTGTAGGTGGATGGCCAATAGCTCCGCATTTGTATGTTCCTTTTTGGCGTGCAAATTTTTTAATTCACATTGGATGTAGTTGTTCTCGGCTCTCCTAACAATTTTCTGTTTCGTTGTTGGTTTTGATTTCGGTTTCATTTGTGCGAACTTTGGTATAACATTCATAGCAATACACTGTTTATTAAACCAAATATTGGCGTTTGTGTTGTTGATCTTCAGTGAACGTCGTTGGTATACAGTCAATAGTAAGTTGGTTTTGGAATAATAAGCCTGACTGGCATAAATATTTCCTTTTTGGTTGTTGTTGTTTCCGACAGGGTGGGTTTATGAAGAATTTTGGAACGAATTTCCGTCATCCCTTAAACAGGGTGTTTACAAGTTAACCTGCGAGTGCCGACACAGTTACATAGGACAAACAGAGCGAAATATAAGAACAAGGTATCGAGAACACATAAGGGTTTATAATAAGAAAAAACGAAAACCAGAGGCTGCAATAGAATCGAACTTTGCGAATCACATGATCAAAAATAAATGCACACCAATGAAGATTGGACAAACAACAGAACTTCTCCGTGTACAACATAAAGGACAAAGTTTGAATATATTAGAAAATATGGAAATATATAAACAGAAGACCTTCAAAGCAAAATGAGCAAAAAAAATACTGTATCGGACGTACTGTTTGAACCTCTAAAACTACTGTACGATCACGATCACGGACTTCTACCTGCCGTCAAAAACGAGCCAAAATGATTCATCTACCTATTGAGCACCGCAAACACTGCAAAACTAAAAAGACGTACCTAACAAAAGAAAGAGGTAGTTAACAAGGAGTATAAATACGGGCAACCAACAAAAATTATGCAGAACGAAAAACGACACTCAAGATGGCACACCGCCGAAACCGGTTTGTCTCCAAACCAAATTTGACAAGGGATGACGGAAATTTGTTCCAAAATACATCATACACCCACCCTGTCGGAAACAACAACAACCAAAAGGGAAAGAGATATAAGCAACGTCAACGTTACATGCGGTGACAAGGTTGCGTGATTTTAAATCCTTATTGAGTTAAAATCCGCTATCAATTAAGAAATATATTTGATTTGTGATTTGGTTTGTTGACCAAATAAAAAATAAAATTTATTTGTGATTTGATTCGTGGAGCGAATCATTTTGATTTATAATCTTTCAACTAACTAATACTTTTGTTATGCCACGCAAATAAGATATTCAAGTATTTTCCAACTTCCAGTTCTACGCAAATTTTTGGGATTTTTGGGAATAATTCGCGATTTTCCAGACTTCTTCGGGATTTTGGAATCTTCGGGACTACTTTGGAGTTTTTGGACTATTTCGGGAGTTTCGATACTACTTTGGGATTTTCGGGATGCCTAGGACTAATTCGGAGTTTTCAAGACTTTTTCGGGATTATTTCCGATGTATCCTATTATGAATGTGCACGCTCTCTTCTTTGTCGTAAGTGTTCGCACATGTATGTGTGCATATGTATATATCGTGTAAAAAAATGCCTAACGCTATGCTTCCACTTATATACGCCCACTTATATTTTTTAGTCTTACAATAACCCACAAATTCTTCTTCTTTTTTGGCACTGTAACCGCCTAAGCGATTTTGGCCGAGTTCAGCAAAGCATGCCAGTCGCTTCTTCTCTGTGCCAACTGACGCCAATTGGAAACGCCAAGTGAAGCGAAGTCCTTCACCACCTGATCTTTCCATCGCAGTGGGGGCCTCCATCTTCCTCTGCTACTACTAGCGGCTTTCGAGTTGAATACTTTCAGAGCTGGAGCGTTAGTGTCCATTCGAACGACATGGCCAAGCCAGCGGAGCCGCTGTATTTTAATTCGCTGCACTATGTCCATGTCGTTGTAAAGCTCATACAGCCCATCGTTCCATCGTCTGCGGTACTCGCCGTCGCCAACGCGTAAAGGCCCGTAACTCTTCCGCAAAATCTTTCTCCAACACTTCAAGAGCCGCCTCATCGGATGTTGTCATTGTCCATGCTTCTGCGCCATATACCAGCACAGGCATGATTAGTGACTTAGAGAGCGTGGTTTTCGTACGTCGAGAGAGGACTTTACTCTTGAATTGCCTACTCAGTCCAAAGTAGCTTCTACGTTGAGTTTCTCTGCCGTATGAGTTTTGAGGGGATGCCAAATTCAGACATAGCGGGGTATAGGAAACTCCTTTTAGTGCTGTCAAAAGCGGCTTTAAAGTCTCGACAAATAGGTGGTGAGTGTCGATCCTTTTCTCGGGGGTCTTTTCCAAGATTTGGCGTACTGTAAATACCTGGTCTATGGTGGATTTTCCAGGTCTAAAGCCACACTGATAAGGCCCAATCAGTTCATTGACGGTGGGCTTCAGTCTTTCACACAATACGCTCGATAAAACCTTGTAACCTATGCTTAGAAGGCTGATCCCGCGGTAGTTGGCGCGAATGGCGGGGTCACCTTGGGGATTGGGCAGAGCACACTTAAATTCCAGTCGTCGGGCATGCGTTCATCTGACCATATTCTGCAAAAGAGTTGATGCATGCACCTTATCAACTCCTCGCCGCCGTACTTGAATAGCTCAGCTGGCAGGCTGTCAGCTCCAATAGCCTTGTTGTTTTTCAGCCGCGTTATTGCTATACGTACCTCGTCATAGTCAGGTAGAACGTCGACTCCGTCATCATCGACTGCGGGCTCATCATCGATTTTCGGGCATTCTTCCTGTCGGCCAGCATTTCAAGCTCTTCGCACTCATAGAAGAGATCCTTGGCTGCCTCATCGTTCTCTTCCATCGGGGCATGGGCGCAGATGAGCGAGATGTTAAAAAATCTCGCTTTGATGCGGATTGTGGCTAGACGCTCGTCCACCGGGGTGAACGACAGTACTCGGCGACGGAGTCTCTCTTTCTACCACAAATCCAACTCCCAATTTGCGCTCCTTTAAATGGCAGCTGTAGTAGACGTCGCAAGGCCCCAGACATTGCTTGCCTTGCCCCGTCCAACGCATTTCTTGGACGGCGAAGATGTCAGCTTTTGTCCTTACGAGGACTTCAACCAGCCGGGCAGAGGCACCTTCCCCATTAAGGGTCCGGACATTCCAGGTGCATGCCCTCAAATCGTAGTCCTTTAAACGTTTGCCATGGTCGTCATCATAAGGGGGGTCTCATCCGAGGCTTTACGTGGCGGGTCCCAAACCCAGCGCTCAACCCATTGCTGTGACGGGGGTGGTTTCGTAACCAAATACACGTGTATATAGCGAGTCGCTTGCTCCAAGCAGACACCCACTTGCATCCGCACCTATTGGTGAACAGACGCTGCAGACTACAGTGAGCCCTTAAACCGAATAAGTCGGAGTGGC